TTCTGGTAAATACAGGAAACCCGGCCCCAGTATCCAACTCTGATTCTTGATTAATTCATTAGCTGTGAGGCCTATTGAACTTTGGTCACTTGGATTCAGTTTTGTGTCGACGTAGAACCAATCGGAGGGATCTGAACCATCTCTTATAGATGCTTTTCTGTTTGCGACAAAGGTGTGAAATCGTTTAGTTTCATTATTAATACGGCAATACTATATACCGGTAAACACCGGAAAACAACCGGAAAACACCATTTTATACTGAATACCGGAAAACACCCTAAATTGGTAACCCGGAGCCTGGTCCTCTGTGTGCGGTTTTGGACCAAGTGAGCGCCGATGAAGGAAGGTCAAGGTCATTACGATGTTCGTTTTACAAATAGCCGCCCCCCCCCCCCAAAAAAAAAAATCCGATTTTTTTTTCTACAAAATTTTTTTGACGAAAAAATTTTTTGTCACAAAACAGAAAATCGAATTTTTCGGGCCATACTATATACCGGAAAACACAGGAAAACACCGGAAAACAACCGGAAAACAACCGGAAAATACCATTTTATACTGAATATCGGAAAACACCGGAAAAACAATAAATACCGGAAAACATCCTAAATACCGGAAAACACCCTAAATAGGTAACCTGGAGCCTGGTCCTCTGTGTGCGGTTTTGGACCAAGTGAGCGCCGATGAAGGAAGGTCAAGGTCATTACGATGTTCATTTTACAAATAGCCCCGCCCCCCCCCCCCCCCAAAAATATAAAAATTTCCGATTTTTTTTCTCTAAAACTTTGTTGATGCCTATTATGTTTTGAATGTTTTAAAAGACACAATCAGTCTACCTCCATCATTGACTATATTTTATTTTGTATTTTACTTTTAGTTTTCAGTAAATTTCAGTAGATTTCAGTGTTTCAGTATTTCATTAGATTAAACACTGCCCTTGGAGGGCCCCATTATATGCCGGTTGCGCCGGTCTCCTGGTTCGAATTAGTGGAAGGCACGACTAGGCCAACTCCTCCCTAGGTAACAAAAAATCGCATCATAAAACAGCAAGTATCATCAAAAGCGAGTTAATAAATCTCTGAATAGTTCGAGTTGAAGTTCCAGGTTTAACCGCTATGTGTCCTATAATCACCAAACGCAATGGATGCCACGCAATTCTCGGACAGGCTGTAATCTGAAAAGTGTCTATCCTTTCCAAGAGCTATCCATCTCGTTGGAAGGGCTAAAAATCTACTTGTTTCTGAGCTTACTTTCATTCCAGGGTCAAATATAATCACTTGAATCATAATAATATTCAACATATTCCATCATATTCCGAGGGCCGCACACAGGATTTTTTTCTGGATTACTTTTCGAGCTTTTTTCCCCAACTTGTTGACCAGTTTTCCTTGAGAAAACCCCAACTTTCGCCCAATTGTCCATGAGAAAACTACATATTCTATCTTACTGCATTGACGGGAAGTGGTAAGCTGGACGTCTGTGAAAAGGGTTGATCGATAAATTTTCAAGGAAGCAATTGTTGTTTTTGTTTGTGAAATAGAGGACTCTAGCCGATAAGGCTACTTTCCCCCCGAGAATCTCAGGCAACCAATTTGTTTCATGTACTACTATCGTAATAAAACATTACTATGTTAACCACTTCCTGGTGGCTGAAGACTTACACCGAATGCGTATTCGGAAAAAAATGTCTCCGAGAAGGGATCATCGTCAGGGTGGGACGGGGGTGTTAAATTGTCCAGTCACGTGACGAACATAGATCTTCTGTTCCTCAACCCATATTATTTCCACAGTCATTGTCATTAATCACAAATTACGGGATGATATACGAAAATGCAGGTTTACTTTGAAATAGTGCAAATGATACTTTTCCATCTACAATCTTCAGATCAAAGGATGCAAGTTCTTACACAGTGCAGCATAATTTGTGCAAAAGAAGACATCTCGAATATCGATTGTCGGAAAAAACATTTTCTCGGGGACATTTTTTTCCGAATACGCATTCGGTGTAAGTCTTCAGCCACCAGGAAGTGGTTAACATAGTAATGTTTTATTACGATAGTAGTACATAAAACAAATTGGTTGCCTGAGGTTCTATTTCACAAACAAAAACAACAATTGCTTCCTTGAAAATTTATCGATCAACCCTTTTCACAGACGTCAAGCTTACCACTTCCCGTCAATGCAGTAAGATAGAATATGTAGTTTTCTCATGTACAATTGGGCGAAAGTTGGGGTTTTCTCAAGGAAAACTGGTCAACGAGTTGGGGAAAAAGCTCGAAAAGTAATCCAGAAAAAAATCCTGTGTGCGGCCCTTGGAATATGATGGAATATGTTGAATATTATTATGGTTCAAGTGATTATATTTGACCCTGGAATGAAAGTAAGCTCAGAAACAAGTAGATTTTTAGCCCTTCCAACGAGATGGATAGCTCTTGGAAAGGATAGACACTTTTCAGATTACAGCCTGTCCGAGAATTGCGTGGCATCCATTTCGTTTGGTGATTAGGACACATAGCGGTTAAACCTGGAACATCAACTCGAACTATTCAGAGATTTATTAACTCGCTTTTGATGATACTTGCTGTTTTATGATGCGATTTTTTGTTACCTAGGGAGGAGTTGGCCTAATCGTGCCTTCCACTAATTCGTACCACCCTGATGCCAGCGTTACTAGTAAGAATCAGGAGACCGGCGCAACTGGCATATAATGGGGCCCTCCGAGGGCAGTGTTTAATCTACTGAAACACTGAAATTTACTGAAAACTAAAATTAACATACAAAATAAAATATGGTCAATGATGGAGGTAGACAGATTGCGTCTTTTAAAACATTCAAAACATAATAGGCATCAACAAAATTTTGTAGAAAAAAAATCGGATTTGTTTTGGTTTTTTTTTTTTGGGGGGGGGGGGGGGGGGCTATTTGTAAAACGAACATCGTAATGACCTTGACCTTCCTTCATCGGCGTTCACTTGGTCCAAACCGCACACAGAGGACCAGGCTCCGGGAAACCTATTTATGGTGTTTTCCGGTATTTAGGTTGTTTTCCGGCATTTAGTGTTTTTCCGGTGTTTTCCGATATTTAGTATAAAATGGTGTTTTCCGGTTGTTTTCCGGTCTTTTCCGGTATATAGTATGCCCCCCCCCCCCCCAGATGAAGAATATATATGGACATCTTTACAAATTTGAAATATTCCAATTAATCATTAGCAAGGATGATTCAAACTTGAGGGGGAGAAAATAAAGTGGGTTAAACGTCCAGTGGACACAAACTAGTTCATTTTGGGACGAAGGTGATGCATATGTTTGGTCATCTTGACCAATTTAAGTTTATATATTTCATTAAGTCGTCATCAAGGATGATTTTGACTTGAGAGAGAAATAAGGTTTAATGTCCACTCGAGACAAACTAAGTAATTTTGGGACTAACATATGATGCAGTTTTATTTCAATAATTCGCATGCGCGAAAATAGAAAATCTGTGAGAATGGACAGATAACACTAGATACCTATAATATAGGCTTGTAATGGAAACCTAGCCACTTAACTCTATGACATACCTTATGATCTAAAGCGCCTGTTTTAGACCACGTTCGACTTAACCAAAGGACAAGTTTCACGAATGTTCAATGAAATTTACACAGAATAAATCTTATATGAATATGATATAGTAATGAAATGAAACATATTTCAGTTCTCGGGTAAAAGATCACTACGTTGTCAATAGCTGCGGTGTGGTGGTGGGGGGGGGGGTAGGGGGGGCGCAGCAGCATCTCCAGTACGTTGTCGTGACAGGAAATATTCCGTGGAGAACAGGACAACCGATTACGAACAGTTACGTCGCCCGTGGTTTGAAGAAATTGAAGTGTTTCTGAGGGATGTACATGTTAGCGCGTGTAAACGTTTTAAGGACGGGGGGATTGTAGATGATCCAGTGGCATTGAGCCATACACACATGATCAGCATGACTACACATGCTAAAATTGATTACTGCTATATCTTTCAAATTAACAATGGATGGAAGGTTAGAATTGCATATCTACATATATATATATAGATGTTAAGTATGGCATTGTTCGACGGGTGCGTCTCTTCACTGTCGACTATCTTAAAGTGCCCGCTGATTATCACCTTTTATTCCATGGTTGGTTACTTGAACACGCCAAAAAGGTTATTTTGGTCAAACAAATTTTAGGAATTAGATCGCGCTTATTCCCATCTGTATTTAGAAGACGATCAGTGGAGAGTTATTGAAAATCAGGAGACAACATACATTACATATTGAAATCTACTGAAGGAGAAGATGACATATATAGGCCAAAAACATCATTACAAAAATGGTGTCCCAAAACTAAGAACATAGGAAGGTAGGTTAAAATCTAAGTAAATGAACATTTCTACTCGAACATAAGTACATGCCGGAGGTTGGCATGTGCAGTCAGAATTATCCTGGATTGTCTGGAGTGCCATGAAACCTGTTGTGATCTATGCCATCTTTCCCTTCGGGGAATTCAATATGGAAAGCATGATGGTCTCCTAAACAAGGACACTGCCAGATATTACATGCCTCTCCATGAACACTTAAAAATATTTTTTCTTGTGGTTCTTACATGAGAATATGGATAACAGATATATCAAGTTTATGATAGTCATGGCAGCCCATAAATCTATACGATGATCTGCTCCTAAATACAGAACCTAATAATCATGGTCTGATCACTGCAAAATTATGCATGACTTATGACCTTCCCTTCGGCTATCCATCTAGTGTTAAAGTCTGATTTTGTCACGAAAACGATATGATTTTTGACCAAAATACCCTCGTTACTTCAGTCAGTTTTATAGAAGCATAACTCGTGTTTTCCTTTTTTCACTTCCATTTCTTGAAATCTTCGTTCCGCATCTATCGTAGCAATGATCTCTGTGTTAGAATTACTTTGGGACCATACCCTATGAGATGAAAAAGGAACCAAAGTTGTCGGTCATATTTGAAATAAACAGGTCTAGTGGACGTTCTGAAATACAGAAACCAGATGATGTTCTCTTCAGGAGGGCACTTTATATTTATAGGTCAATTTTGGCACCATTCTCACGAAAGAAGAATTTTGTCCGTCATACTTGAAACAAATCAGTCTTCTACTAATTCTACCGGGATTTTGTAATTTGTTCAGCTTGGAACCCGTTCTGGAGTAGGAACTTTGGGACCATACCCTATCAGCAGAAAAAGGAATAAAAGTTGTCCGTCATATTTTGAAATAAACCTACGTACTCCTGTCACTAGGGGGCGTTTTGAAGCTAGAAGCCAGGGGATTTTTTGTTCTGACGGGCACTTTTCAAGTTTGCATTAGCAACGTGAACAAATGTAGAAAAGATTAACTTTGTCCGCAAAAATGTGAATTAAATCGACTTTTTCCGCGATTTCGGGGGCGTACAGCCCCTAAACCCAGGGGACGTGCAACTTAAGAATTCCCATACTGATCATCGGCCATGATGGTGCCTCCGTTAGGCATAGTGCCAATTTTGTCCGCGAGTTTAGGAATAACGGCCAGCTGGCTCCCCTACTAATAAAAAAACCCTTCACTGTTGAATTTCGATGAAAAATGCCACGGTCCATTGACAATTTCCGTCATAGCACTCTGCATAGCGTACGACTATCTTCAATAGCCCGATTGGTGCAGAAAAGGAGGAAAATTGAATGAAATGAAATTGTGTTAACGTCCTACTGTTCCGCTCTGACTGGGCTAATTAAGACGGGCATACGCTATACAGTGAGGGAAATTTGCCCGGATAGTGGCGCTACGGCTTACTATTATACTGAATTCCTACTGTATAGGGCCGTTTACGTGCTCGCTAATATGTACACAGAACTTCGATTTTTCGTCCCATCCAAAAGACTATGCGTTATCCCCTGCCAGGCCCTCGGCCCTGTACCACTGTAAAGAAGAATCACACCGGAAAGTTTCCGATGAGCTTTCTCGGCCAACGCAGTGATTGAACACGAGACTTCAACTTTAGCGAGCCAAACAATAAAATGTCCAGACTGTGTCGTATCAGTAAGCTCTGTAACAGCAGTTGTAATATTATTAGGTCGCCTTGCGATTGCTTGTATAGTCATTACTGTAAAACCGGAACATAAAAGTTTTCTTCTGATAAAAACGATATATTAATAGACGCTTCGATATATCCTATAAACGGAAGTTCATTTCCACCAACGGTATATACATTTAATTCGAAACCGAAATATTTCTTAGTAATGGCTGAGGATTTAAAGATCTATAAAATTTCTCAGATATGCACGTTATCATCGAACCACTATCAATCAATGCATCTATTTCAATTCCACAAATGGTAATAACACCAACATTGGATTTCCCGATTAATCTGTTTCTAAACAAATTTGTAAGGCTAGGCAATATACCTCGCTCCGTCTGCCCTTCCACAGAGGAGGTTAAGCTTTTGGGTGAGTATTAAACCGTTGATATCCAGGTCTACTATAGGAAGAGGAACCTCGATAACCACGGTAAGTGCCGCGCCCGACACCACCGCGATACTCTTGATTACTGTTACCATGGTAACTCCCAGGCCTAGAAGTACCACGATAATTCCTTATAATACCTCCACGAAAATTTGGATTAATCGCAGCAGAATTATCGTTACGCGCATCATCAGACTTTTGAAAAGAATCTACTTTATTCTCAAGTTGTCGGAATTTCTTCATTAAAACTTCCATCTGTTCGGAAAGCTTATCAATTTTGTCATTTTGGGGTACTTGTACAGGATTATGATGAACCTTAGGTTGAATCTTAACATATTTATTTCTATCATTAGTATTTAATTCCTAGTCCACAGACCGTATTTCGCGCAACAGATCGTCATAACATCGAGCAGTGTCATATTTATGTCGGGTTTGACTTTTCAATGCCTCATTACGTAAACCTGTCCATAATTTAGACCAGAGCATATCATCTTTAGCAGCAATACCTACATGTCCTTTAGCAATTTGTAAAAGACTCTCTAATCTACACCCAAATGAAGTCACCGATTCGCCTTCTTTCTACGTATTGTGTATTTGGGGGTGTAACACAAAGGTGGTAGAACAAACAAGTTAATACACAAAATCGTCTCCATTAATTGTATTCTGAGAGAGAGAGAGAGAGGGAGAGAGAGAGAGAAATGGGGTTTAACGTCCACTCGACACAAACTAGGTCATTTCGGGACTAACATATGGTTTTAATTTTACTTCAATAATTTGCTTGCGCATAGGGGTCTTTAGCAGTGGGAGGAAACCGGAGGACCCGGAGAAAACCCACGAGGTTGGACAGGCGACCCTACTCCTTGTCACGTACAACCGGGGATTCGAAACCACGCCAGTCGACTCAATGACAGACTTTATGATACAGCGCGCGCACGCTAACCATTCAGCCATCCAACCCCCCTGTATTCTGAGAACCACACAAAGACATAAGTTATTTACAGCAAAATGACAATCACATCTTATTCGCGCGATTCAACGACAACAGCGAGAAAAACAAACTCCTGACTCGAGAGTTATCTTTCCTCAACCTCGATTTCGTATTAATAACGCCATACCACTTTAATAGGCCAACACATAATAAAATGTATGTGAATACATAACATCCCCGCCGGCAAAAAAACAAAATAATTTTGTTTAAAATCCGATGATGAAAGATTTGTGTTGAGACTATTAGTATCTTGAAACATAATCAAGAGTACTATACATGACAAAAGAAAGACCGATAAATGTAAACAGTTCAAACAAAATACAAAGAGGATAATAAAAGTGGACAATATTGGCAACAATGCCCTTAAAAATATCCTTCATAGCAAGGACATTAAAATATATACATGTATATTCTTGAACACCTGCATGAGTTACATATTGTGTGGGAAAACAACAAGAAAATGGACATATGAAGTTAGGTATAATGAGATAAATGGATGAATAAGATAACATGCCATGTAAGACAATAAACATTACTACATGTATTGCAATAATAACATTTACAAAAATTAAATAAAATAGACTGAAAGCATATCCAACCGGGATATAAGTAATAGTGTCTTACATGCACAGTATATATAGGCCTACATGTATAGGCAACTATAGAAAATAATCATAGACATATAAGAATATAACATAACACTGCATAAAAAAAGTCGTGCATATGATCTACATACAGAAGTAAAACAATATGAGTAAATATACACATGTTTATCACTAAATGAATGGTGGGGGTTTCATGTGAATTGATAATTTGGCACGATGGTCTAACTTAGAGTCTGAGACCCAAAAAGCCTGATCTGCTGGTTCACCACGAATTTGAACAAGATATTCTGGTTTATCCCCTTTAAGGCGTTGACCTAACACACGTTGGATTTTATGGAAACCGCCATCAGAGTCACTATTATGTGAAATACTACTACAGTCCACTGCTGCATCACGAAATCTAATAGGTTTACGTCTGGAACGCACACTTCTACGAACACCACTTTGGGAGGGTTGAATGTCTTTTATTGGAACAGGGATTCGTGAATTACACATAGTGGGACTTGAAGAGTCACGTTGAATATTATGAGAGTCTTTACAAGGTGTAGGTAACCCATCTGTAGTAATGGGCTGACTAAAAGTTTGGTTAGGCTGTAAAATACTCTCACTGGGTAAATCAGAGTCTGACTGCTCTGGTACAGTCTGATTAATGTTTGTGATAACACTCCCAGGAAAATAAGGAGAAGGGTTACGTGACCTGATATAAGCCAATTTAAGACGATCACAATGGACATTATGAATAAGTTTAGAAGAACTTGGATCTTTAATATCTACTATATGGTCACTACAAATAGTATAAATAACATAAGGGCCTGAATATTTATTTTGCAATTTCTGACCAGGACCTTTAGGAGAGACATTTAAATAAATATAATCACCAACAACAATGTTTAAAGGGTTAATATCACTTGGTATAGTTTCTCTAGAACTATCTGAAAAATTAGCTAAAGGAAATTTTGGACGCATGGAATAAATGATTTCAAAAGGTGAAAACCCCAAAGATGAATTAACACAATTATTCATGGAAAAAACAACTGCAGGTAACATATCAATCCAGGAACAAGGACTTTTTGACACATAAGGAGTTAACCTCTCAGCCAAAGTTCTGTGTAAGCGTTCACAAGCTCCTAAACAGTGATGCATAAAGCTAGGAGTAAATTGTTGAGGTATTGACAAAAGTTTACAAACTTCAGATGTACATTTAGAAATAAATTCTCTACCTTTATCACTTATTAACGTATGGCAAACACCATAGTTAGAAAATAAATTAAAGAGTGCTGAACTAACAGTTATGGAATCAGTATTAGCAATTGGATAACAAACTAAAAACTTACTGAACATATCAACAGCGGTGAATACATAACAATCTCCTTTAGGGGTTTTAGGTAAAGGCCCATAAAGATCTACTTCCCAAACTTCAAATGGAGCATGTGGTGTAGGATATGCAACAATGGCTGTTTTGGTGTGCGCTTTAGTTAACTTTCTACTTTGACAAGCATGACAAGACTTAACATAGTCAGAGACAAGGGTGCTCATTTTGGGAAAATAATAAGACTCTTTAATACGGTCAACAGTATCCTGTATCCCCCCATGACCACCTAAAGGAGAATCATGGTATAAAAGTAAAAGTTCTTGAACTAAGACATAAGGCACAACAAGTTGATAACAATTTAAAGTTTTGGAACGTTTAGATAGTGCAGTTCTAGAATGAAATAAAACATTTTTAAAAACCATATAATCTTTGGCTTCAACAATTAATCGTCTAGATTGAGACTGAGAATCAGGCAAAACATTTTTAACAAGATAATTTATAATATGCTTTAAAAATGGATCACTGTATTGTAATTCAGCCATAGCTGAAAGACTAAAATTAAAATATTTCATTAATAATATACTCTCAACTGATATAGAATCAATAGGTGCGGTATCAGGTGAGCTGACAGGCATATAATCACTAAAGTTAGTATCACAACAGTCGGTAGTGGACGGCATGAAATGAGTTAGATTATCACTAGTTTCACAAGTGTCTGAAGGAATACATGGATTATGTACTGCAGCACATTGTGCACAATTGGAAGGCACATTATTAACTAAAAATTCATCAATATCACAATCTTCTGTGTCAGCATCATATAATGGGTCTTGATCAGTATAATACACAAAAACACGATTACATTCAGCATTTGAATCCGCACAAAACAAATTTGGAAAATCTACACCACCGGGCAAAGTTATTTTAGGAACAGCTTCTGGAATATATGGAAAATAAGGGTCATCCTCAGATGGACTGACATGATCGGAATGTTTAACAGTTTTATCGAAACAACGGGACAAAGCATCAGGAACAGTCATCTGTGCTGCTGGTTTATATTTAATATTAAAGTTAAGTTGCTGAAGAATGGTTAACCACCGATCATAGATGGCACCACGAAGAGATTTTTGAAATAATGGCCGTAATGCTTGATGATCACATTCTACTGTGAAATGACGACCTCGTAAATAGGGAGCACAATCCAAAATGCTTGAGGTCATGCCCAAAAGTTCCAGTTTAGTAGGACCATATGATTGCTGCCATTTCGAAAGGCTTTTCGAGCCAAATTTAATAACTCGTGTTCGTTGTTTGTCATCTAACTTGTCCTGAAACTCTGACTCTGGATGGATTTGATATAGCATATAACCGATACCAAGACTGGAAGTGTCGACACTTAAATAAAATGGTAGGTCATAGCGAGGAAAAGCTAATACTTTGGAATTTAACAATGTCTCTTTTAATTTATCAACCGCTGATTGATGCGATTCGTCCCAATTATAAGACACGTTGTTCTTTAATAAACTGTGTAAAGGAGTAGCAAGAGCACTATAATTGGGAATGAATTTCCTAAACCAATTTAACATTCCGAGAAATCTGCGCAACTCTTTGGGAGTTTTAGGAGTAGGATAATCTTGAATAATCTTCACATGATCGTTGGGTGGGCTTATGCCGGCAGCAGATATGTCATGTCCCAAATATTTACACTTTTGTTGAGCAAAAGCACATTTTTTCGGATTAAGTCTTAAGCCAGCTGTACGTAATCGATCAAAAACAGCTTGTATATCCTTGATATTTTGATCGAATGTTGAGCTATAAATAAGGATATCATCAAGGTAGCATAACACAGAATTAAATGTCAAACCGTGTAAAATTTTGTCCATCATAAGCTGAAAAGAATTTGGTGAGGTTTTGAGGCCCATAGGAAGAGGTAAAAATTTATACGTTCCAAAGCAAGTTGAAAATGCTGTATAATTAGTGGACTCTGCAGACAATGGCATTTGAAAAAATCCACTACTTAAGTCAATAGATGTTATATAATTAGATGTTGTAGTAGTAAATGATTCTGTTAGTTTTTGCAAATCTGGGATAGTATAGTTGAAATCTTGTGTCTGAGAGTTGAGGTAACGAAAGTCAACACAAAAACGATATTGTAATAAACTAGCTTCTTTTGAACCAATAGGGTATTGAGATTTATCAACATTTCGCTTCGAAACCAATACTATAGGACTTGTTATAGGTAGATGATCCGTATTACTAACTTGACATATAATACCCTGCTTGACAAGCTCAGCTAATTGATGGCGTAATACTTCCTTCTTATCAGGTGGTAAGCGATAAGGTCGCTGATGTTTTGGTTTTGCATCAGGGTTCAAATGGATCTGATGTTCAACAATTGAGGTAAGTCCTAAATCAGAATTTTCGGAAGTAATGAAAATATCTTTATATGAGTACAAACAATCCATTAAGACAGGTAATTCATCAGGGCTGACTGTGGTATTGGACAAGTTGAGACTGTCAAAAAAATTGGGATGTGAATCATTAATATTATTAACAAAAGGTGGTGTGTTATTTGTTGATTCATGAACATGAGGTGAAGCAGGATCAGTAGAAAGAATAGGTGTGATTTTGAAGGAGTCATCGAATATGTTAAAGTCAGCTAATGCACATCCTTTAAAAAGGGTTATGGGGTGACTGGTTAAGTTGAGTACTTTGAGAGAAACTGTTCGATTTGACGACACTAGGCACACACTTCGAGATCCTAAAACATTCTTTCGGGACAATTGTTGATGAGGAGTACACATGCCTTGAATACCATACGACAAATGTTGTGGCACTTTGCCCCAAATAACAGTTTCTGTATTGCTTGGTAAAACAAGAGTTTTGGCACATTTCAGTTTATGTGAGTTAGATTGACTGGAAAGAGCACCAAAATCTAATTTAATTCTAGCCGAAACCATAAATGTAGTAACTAATATGATTGGTTGTGACAAAGTTTCTTACACATAAAATAAAGGGGATCACGTGGCTAAGTGGGTAAGACGCTAGCTCGCTAGCCAGGAGGTCGGGTGTTCGATCCCTACATTGGCCGAGAAAGTTCATCCAGATTTTCCAGCGTGGTTCTCCCTTGTCAGTGATGCAGGACGGAGGGACTGACAAGGAAAGCTGTCTAGTCGTTCGGATGGGACGAAAAACCGAGGTCCCGTGTACACATTGGCGTGCACGTAAAAGATCCCTTGGCAGTTGGAATTCGATATAAGAGTAGGCCGTAGTGCCGCTGTCCGGGCAAAATTTCCCTCATAGCACACTGTATGGCGTATGCCCGTCTTCATTAGCCCAGGTTAGGAGCAGAACAGTAGGTCGTTAAACTCCATTTCATTTCATTTCATTTCATAAAATAAAATGTTTCTGTGAAAACCACACTTTGATCAAAATGTTAAATAAGTACTACTGAGTACTTTTACCTTGTGATCATTGGCTAATGTAAGTTGATGGGTTTCGGTTGTAGTAAGTGTAGATTTACTGGTAACTGGTAACTTGGTGAATAGATGAGAAGAAATAATATTGACAGAACAGCCCGAGTCCAACAATCCAGCTATGGTCACTGGTAGGCCTACACTTTTAAATTTCAGTGGTAGATATTTAAAATGGTTTACTTGGGAAGCACTGGAACTTGAAGCTGTAGATTGGCAGAGCTCAAGAGGTTGTGCTCTAGAGCCCTTGAGCGGAACAAGTTTCCCGGCTGCTTTTGAAGTTTACAACAATTAGCGGAATGACCGAATTGTTGACACGTAGAACAGCGGAGATCCGGGCGGATTGATCCATTATGTTACAGTTGTGGGCGAAATGGCCAACACCGTGACAAGTATAACAAACTCTAGATGATGGTGGGTAAGTATTGGTTGGTTGCTGTACATTGGTATAATGCGTTGGGTGTTGGAATTGGTGAGGGCCTTGAAATGGCTGAGAACGTTGTATGAGATTTGTCAAATCATTAATTTGTTGCTGTAAACACTGATAACTGTTATCGCTGTTACCGGTACTGGTGGGAGGTGGCTGAGAAAAATCAGGAATTGGTATGTGAGGCGGTATGACGTTTGGTTGAATATGGCCTGGTGGCAGCTGAGAATTGGCAAAACTGTCCCGGTAGCCATAGGCTTCACCCATCTTAGCAGCATTGTAGGCATGTTCAAGTGTTGTAGGTGTTCCGGCTCTTACAAAAAAAGCTAATTTAGGAGGTAAGCCCGATATAAACTTTGACATAAGTTCTTGATCATTCTTGTGCAAATTGGCTGACTTCTCAATCAAAAAACTTTGGTATTGATCTATTGACTGGTTGGGTAGTAAATAAAAAGGCTGGTGGAAAACTATGGAATCGGCAAAATTGACCTGGGCTGTATATGTGGAAGTAAACACCTTCTCAAAGGACTGCCAAGAAAGTTTAAGAGCAGGAGGTAAATGTAAATACCAAATACGGGCTGGACCTCTCAGCTGTAAATGGAAAGCAGCAAGTTTCTGTCGATATGTGAGTCCCTCAAGTAAACAAAACGAGTCAAACTCTTCTAAAGAATATGTTGGGTTTTCTTCACCGGAAAAGGTGGAAACCATACGGGTGCCATGAAGTTTTGTTGGTAAGCTAGAGGGAATTGGTACTTGGTTATCAATGTGTTGAGTGTGTTGAGTTGAGCGAACAGGAGTCAGTAATGGTGGCCCCGTTGTAAGCGGAGGTGTCTGTTCAAAATCTTTAAAATTCGAATAGTGGTACATCGGTGTGGTTGACATATTTACACAGGTAGGGAAACAAGCAAACGATTGGCAGGTACTCTAACAATATTATAAACAGGATGACTTGGTGGTTGGCCTTCAAAGTTAGGAAATGACAACACCAAAAAACACGTGGTTTCATTGAGAAATTTAGCATTCAAAACAGCAGTCAGCATCAAGTTTTAGCATCTCCACCATATTGTGTATTTGGGGGTGTAACACAAAGGTGGTAGAACAAACAAGTTAATACACAAAATCGTCTCCATTAATTGTATTCTGAGAACCACACAAAGACATAAGTTATTTACAGCAAAATCACAATCACATCTTATTCAAGCGATTCAACGACAACAGCGAGAAAAACAAACTCCAGACTCGAGAGTTATCTTTCCTCAACCTCGATTTCGTATTAATAAGGCCATACCACTTTTATAGGCCAACACATAATAAAATGTATGTGAATACATAACATACGTCTCCGTGTAGGACTTTTGCATGATGGATTCATTAGAGCTAACATTTCCAAACAATGTATCGATTAGCAGTAGCCGCTTCACCTAACGGTATAAGAATTTGTCGCGCAGTGCCGCGTAATGACCGACGGATTGCTAACAAACTGCTGTGCTCTGAAATAGATTCGTCGGATATAATACATGCTACTTCGAACCGCCAAACATCAAACGTTGTGTCACCCTTTTGAGGAGGTTCATCACCTGAAAACATGGGTAATTTAGGGGCTTCGTTATAAGGAATACCGGTTACATTTCTATTTGGATTGATAGTTCTTTCTGGCGACGAAGATTTTGCGGTACCGGGGAAAGGCTGAGATCGTGAAAGTAGTTCTTGAAAACGGTGTAACCGAGACGGATTAACATTCGTCTTGGGAGTACTTTCTAAAAATTGCGGAGGTCGCCTATGCTTCTTAAATTAGTTAATACTACATATTGACTTTCACGAAGTGTTTCAATCATATGCTGAATTTCTTGTTCTTCAATGTCATCTAGTTTACCACCGGATGCCATTTTATGATTGTTTAAACTAATTTGGATATTACGAAAGCTACAGATAAGTAAGGTTAATATTAGTATGCCAATATTAAATATACTAGTAAACATGAATAATACTGTATTTAAAGAATTGTCAAAGAATCAAATAAATTGTCATCGCTACAACCTGAAAAAAACAATGAGCCAACGCAGTGCCAAATGTAAATGTAAAAATACAGCAAACACAACTAACCTCTCTTTCAGCCTTTTGTTACCCTGTGATGCAAGTGTAAAGTGCAGACCGTGCAGACTTAAATCTGAAATCTTAATCTTAATTATCAAAAACTTGAACTGATTCAGATGTAACTGCAAAAATAAATTAATGATGTCAAAAACTAGACAAAATAATATATGTTATAACACTATGAATGTTTAGAGTAACTTAAATAGCAAACAAGTACTTACATATTTTTTTACAAATGCAAGGTATTGATAGGCATAATTACTATAATGATTCACAAAAGAAAAATTAATTAGCACAAATTTTAAATAGTTAATGTCTTTTTCACCGATTACAAAGAATCCGCTGACGCTGCATTGTTGTTAATCCTGGAACCGCACTGTGCACAAATTTATAGAGAGCTCTTAGTTTAAACGATCTGTAAACGCGAAAATACAACTTACATCAAAATAAACATGAAATGTAATGAAATGGAGTTTAACGTCCTACTATTCTGCTCCTAACCTGGGCTAATGAAGACGGGCATACGCCATACAGTGTGCTATGAGGGAAATTTTGCCCGGACAGCGGCACTACGGCCTACTCTTATATCGAATTCCAACTGCCAAGGGATCTTTTACGTGCACGCCAATGTGTACACGGGACCTCGGTTTTTCGTCCCATCCGAACGACTAGACAGCTTTCCTTGTCAGCCTCTCCGTCCTGCATCACTGACAAGGGAGAACCACGCCGGAAAATCTGGATGAACTTTCTCGGCCAATGCAGGGATCGAACACCCGACCTCCAGGCTAGCGAGCTAGCGTCTTACCCACTTAGCCACGTGATCCCCTATCAAAAGAAACACTTTCTGAGAAGAACGTTGGTTTAATTCAGGAACTGTTGATCAGGAACCACCACTTTAACACACGAAATGTGAATATCGCTAGCTTGTTGAGATGATCATTTACCATAATTTATACCATTTCACCATTAAAACGTTGGGCGCCAATGTCACGGGGTCGTTAGTTAAAAACACGCCAAACATGTAGGATTCTTTATTTAGGTTAATCACATAAATATATGATCGTAAATGACCTGCAAAACAATTTACACCCAATACAGATAAACAATATTATGGAAAATATTATACATAGCACATATGCACCACTTTAAATTATAGCCGTTTACGAATATAGATCGAACACGCCATACTTAAACTCATCAGCAACTATAAAGCTATTGATGATAAATATAAGATATTGAATAAAATCTTACCATTCAATGTGTGGTTTAATACTATAAATACATATGGAATATGTTATTTAAATACACACACATGTAAATGTGTCCATTCCATATGACTAGCCTGTGCGATGTTCTATAGTGGGGTGCAGTTGAATATCCGTGCATTTCGCGGCTGGAATTAAAAACCAATCAAATCATTCAAACAATCACACACACCCAAGCTTACCGACAAAGAACAAACTGTTATGGACAACCTCAACACACAAAAATAAAATACGCTAGCGCACATTAATATACATATTAACCCTGCGACACATTTCTATTAATGTTTACTGTTTTCCCATCAATAATGTTGTCACAAGTTTTACATTTATTGTCCCCACACTTTGAGACACTCTATTCTGTGACTTCAGAATCAAATTTTGAAGAAGTAAGAATTCGTCGTAAATTCGGGGGTTGTTTATAAGGATTTATAATCTTTGTGGCATCCCATATACCAGACATTTTTTAACTATTTCTTAATAAATATGTATGTTTATTTATTACATCCCTTGCTTTTTCTTGAGTTGGTATGTTATATGTTGAAACTAATTTTAAGACCTTTTCTTCCATGTTTTTAATCCTATGTCTATCCTTAGGGATTCTTAACTCTTTTGTATCCATTTCTAAGGCTTTGCGATTAGTTTCTTGTATGAGTTTTAATGGGTAATTTTGTTTAATTAAAAAATGTTTCAGTTCATTTAATCGAACTAATTTTGTTTCTGGATTAGATACAATAGTGCAGACCCTTCTAGCTAGATTAAAGGGTATATTTCTTTTTGTATGTGGAGGGTGACATGAATTAAAATTTAGGTATCTGTTGGTTTGTAATATAGGTCAGTTTTTTTAATTCACCATTATTTGACACCATAATTTTAACATCTAAAAAGTTTAAAGATATGTTACTCCTTTCAATAGTGAAGCAAATATTTTCATCTAGCTCGTTAAGCGATTTATGCAATTTATCAATTACTTTCTGAGCTGCTTTTAAGATTAAAAAACAGTCGTCTAGGAATCTTTCCCATGCTTGTTTTATGTATATATACATGTCCAAAATCGTTTAATATTTGGTTATACCAATTGTTTTCTAAAAAAAACCAAAGCTAATGTAGCGTACGTGGGCTTGTCTTGCTACCCATTGGATAGCCTTTCTTTTGAAGATAAAAATTCCCATAAAAGTAAAACACATTTTTGGACATTATGATATCAATAGATTTTACAATAAAATATTTAATGATTCTCTCGGGTATTTCGTCAGGATATTTAACCAACCAGTATTCTATCGCTTTTATTCCAAGTTTGAGGTCTATGTTATTGTAGAGATTGACTACATCAAAGCTTATGAGTTTACTTCCAGGAGCTACTTTTGTTGGTAAATGATTAAGATAATCTATATCGTCCCTAATAAAACTATTGACGTGCTTACACAGTGGTTTTAATAGAATATCAAGGAAATTAATTACTGAGACGTTGTGTAACGCTGTGAGAGCCTCCCACAATTGGTCTACATTTTAAATCTGTAGGATTTTCTATATAAATTAGACCTGATCTATTATTCTTTATTTCATTCTGTATTTGCTTGCTCTTATGTACTTTAGGTAAACCATATAAATATGCCGTTTTTGATTCATAGTTAGTCAAATAATCTTGTTCTTTTTCGCTGAGACATGCACTTTGACTTTCGATAAATTTAGATATCAACTTCTTTATATTAAATTCATAGGGACAAATGGTTCATAGTATTCTTTTCCTCAAGCTTGTTTAATATTTTGCTTTTTTAAAATGCCGTATTCATTAGGACTATGGCGCCGCCTTTGTCCGGTTCTTTTTTTTTCCGTAGATTATTTAGTGCTTGATTTTCAATTTTCAAAAGATTATATTTATAGTCATTATTTTGTATTTGGTGAGATGTAATATTGTTTATAAATTTATCAAGATATTCATCTCTTCCTGAGCCTGTTCGTATCATTAGGATCTATATCATAAAAGTATTCAATTAATCTTATTTTTCTACAAAACTTGAAAAGTTCTGAATTAAGTAATGATTTGTTAATCATTGGAGTGGGGGTGAATTTTAAACCCCTTTTTAATAATTTTGTTTCATTCTCTGACAATTTATATGCACTTAAATTTATTATCTTAATATCCTTTTCTTTTACTTCATCCTGCTCCTGTTTCCTCTGCCCCCTTCTAATAAATAATCATCCATGTTGTTTTCTGCCATAAATCTCGGTCTTGGAGATATAATATTTTCTCGAGAGTTCCATCCATAATTTTGTGCCGATCTTCTACTGTTAGATCATCCCCTTTGATATCCATGTGACGGGATAAGCAAGCAAAGGACGGTGTTCTTTCTGATGAACACTCGTATGATAGAAAAGATAATATGTCTTAAAACTGATGAGGACTGGATTAACTGAAGGCTTGGAGAATAGCCTGGAGCTCAGCTGTAAAAATAGAAGCAGCAGGTCGTAGGCGAACAGATATGGTCTCAGTTGGTGCCACAGTAGCCTAAGCTACCCGATCACCATCTTTCGAACCATCTGTATAAATAAGAGTATAATCACCATATTTAGACCTTAGCTCTCTAACGGCGGGACGATTTACCCAATACCACCAAACAGACTCCAATACCACTCCAATATCACCACATACTACCTAATACTTCAACATAATGGTGCCAAATGTGCATATTACTTGATCTTTTTCAAAAATAGTGAGATATATCGTGGGAAATGTACTTCAAATGTGTTACCGATGTCTGGCTGTTCCATTTGCCTCCCTATATCACCCTAATCAAGCAAATAATAACCCAATACTACCAAATACTTATCAAATACTACCCAATATTATAAAATACAAACCTAATATCGTCAATTAGCAGCACATCAGTATAATAATTTCAACGAATATTCGATAATTTACAGAAAATTGAAATATTTGCCCAGTTATCTCCCTTTACAACTGACAAATAGATTTTAGATTGCTACTCAAATTAATCATCTTGTTGGGCTTCTCAGGTTGTTTCCAAGACGACGAAGTTAAAATAAGGAAAACAGGTTCTTATAGATGCCTCTGCTATAGTGTTATAAAATAAACAGCCAAACATCCAAATAAAAGAGTATTTTAGAGGTTGATTTAAAAATGTTCATTTAACGGTCTCGTGATCTATTCAAAAATCTTCTTGTACTATAATTATTTCTTCATCCTGATGATTTAAGTATGATAACACGCTGTCTACAAGTGCACTCGGTCCTGTAAAAATCATTTGGGTACAA